TCTGAAATTTTGATACGATCAAGCTAAGTGACTCACGAACGTCCTCCAACTGGAATTACTTCAAAATTCGTCCATTTGTTTATGCTTTGCTCCAGAGGAAGTCGAAAGTCCTATATTGAAAATATAATTCAAAATATCAAAATTCTTCCAAAATATTAACCAAAATATACTAAGAATAGGGTTAAATATATAATATAAAATATACCCATCACCCTTCTAACTCACGATGACCATCGAGCCCAAACAAGTGAGTTCTTGATGACCATTGGCCCCAAACAAGAGGTTTTATAACTATCTTTTTACTTACATTTAACATCTCTCTCAAAAAGCCAAAGAAAATTATCGCTGACTTATTTGCTTCAATGTGGTAATTTTACAAAGAAATTTTTTGTGTTGTTCTTCTCTTTCCTCACAACGAAGAACATTACTAGCTAGAAAGCATCCTTATTAAAGTTCGAGACCAAACACAGAAATGGCTCGAAATAGATTACAACAAGGCAACATCTAAGAATAATTAGAAGAAGGCAGAAACATAATGAAATATAGAAAAGAGGCACATCCTGATCAGATAGTAAAACCATCGAGAGCAAGCAATTCACCGCATGTTATCATGCGTAATGGCTTTGACAAATGGTGCCTCTTAGTTGAGAGATGTTGAGAAACTCGTTTCATTGTGGGACGAGATTGTGGACTGGGATTCAAACATGCAAACGCTATCATAACAAGAGAGACCAATTCCCCTGCAACTTGATGCGTAGGAGGGGAAATGCGTTGGTCTAAAACATCCACAATTGGCATCTGATGGGCAGGAAATCCAGATGGTGATGATGTCGACGAAGAAGATGACGACAGAGATGAGATCAGATCTCCTGGATGCCTTCCAATTATCACTTCCAACGCTACTACTCCAAAGCTATAAACGTCGCATTTCTCATTTACTTCCATTGTATAAGCAAGCTCTGCAAAGAAGAAGCTCATAGCAGGGACATAACATTTCAATGTAAGTATACAAAATCTATAATCATGCCAAAAGAAGTATAATCCTGTCCTAACCATGAAAAGCATTGATTGGCCAAAAAGGAAAAACATAAGAACATATAAAGAACAGAGAAGAGCATTACCTGGTGCCATATATCCGTATGTGCCAGCAAGGGCACTCCAATTTGTTGAGTCTGGGTTCAAAAACTTAGCAGTGCCAAAGTCCGAAACAGAGGCCTCATATTCAGAATCGAGCAAAATGTTCTTGCTTGATATGTCACGATGTACAATTGGTGGCAAGCAATCGTGGTGCATGTAAGACAGGGCATGAGCTACACCTTTCACAATATTCACCCTTTTACTCCACCCCAATTCTTTAGCTTCATCTTTGCTCAACATTGTGGCCAAGCTGCCCCTTTCTAGATACTCATATACCAAAAACGAGTGACGTGCATGTGAACAGAAACCATAAAGCTTCACAATGTTTCGGTGTCGTATCTCAGTTAGTGCCCTTATTTCATTTAAGAATTCCTTTTGAAAATTGGTCGTGCCATCCCACAGCAGATGGAGTTTCTTCACTGCCACTATGTTCGCATTTGACAAATTCGCTCTGTAGACGCTTCCATGTCCTCCCTTCCCAATGCAATATGTGGAATCAAAATCATCTGTTGCCCTTATGATTTCCTCATACATTGTTTTTCCATCAAAATTTAATATTGAAAAGGAAATTTCTTCCTGCATGTTGTTTTGTTCTTTATCATGACGCTTCTTCCTTCTTTCCACCACAAACACAATTGTAAAGAAAGCAGATAGAAGAAAAACTGCAGCTAGAAGGGAGAATATGATTATGTGTACCCGTTTGTGGTCTTTTCTTGAGCCATGCTTGCAGAGTGGTAAAGCTCCAACATTTCCACACAAACCTATGTTCCCTTTTAATGCTTCTGGCGGAGCATCTCGAAATGCGCGGCTATTGGGAAGGGGACCTTCCAAGTGATTGTAGGATATGTCAACATATGACAAGCCGTGCATGCCTTCAAAGCTTGTGGGAATGAAACCAGAAAGATTGTTGTGGGACAGATTGAGCTTCTCCAGACTCTCCATAGTGCTTAATTCTGATGGTATCTTACCTTCAAGTGAGTTATGACTTAAATCCAATTGGGACAGTTGAACTAACTTCCCCAACTGGAAAGGAATTGCTTGACTGAACTTGTTGTTGCTCAAATTCAAGTAGTGTAATTTGGACAAGTCACCAAGAATGCTTGGAATTGGCTCATTGAATTTGTTTGTGTAGATATCTAGATATTCAAGATCAGTTAATGATTCGAATTCCGAAGGTATACGACCCACAAGTTGATTTCCATTCAACATCAACTTCACCAATGAAGTCAGTCTTCCGAATTCCTTCGGAATCACCCCAACTAAATGATTTGAAGAAAGATCAAGTTCATGAATTTGGGTTGCGTTGCCGATGTCCGGTGGTATGGTACCAGTAAGGTTGTTTTTGGCAATTAGTAAGCTTCCTAATTGTGGGCACTGTCCCCAGTTGCGTGACACTTCACCATGCAAGTTGTTGTCGCTTAAATCTATATATTGAAGATTCGGGTACACGCCAAAATCTTCAGATATGTTTCCTGTGAATTGGTTCCCATCAAGACGGACTCTCAATAAGCTCGTGCATGTTTTCAATTTTTTGGGAATTGGACCAATGAAACTGTTGTTGTTCACTAGAAGCTTTGAAAGCCATCTGTGTTGGCAAAGGTTTTGAGGCAAAGAACCAACAAATTGATTAAACCCCAGCTCCAATTCTTCCAACTTCTTTAGATTTCCTATCTCTTGGGGAATCAACCCAGAAAGTTTATTGTCACGCAGAAATAAGGCTTCTAAGTTTCTTAGTTCACCCAATGAAGTGGGAACTGAACCATTGAGTTTATTAATGCTCAAATCTAGCTCAGTAAGTGATTTCAAGTGCCCTATCTCATCAGGAATGGTGCCAGAAAGAAAATTGCTAGAGAGAGAGATAATGGTAAGATTTTTCAGATCACCGATTGATGTCGGGATTGCACCAACCATTTGATTCTCTGACAAAGATAGCTCCAAAAGAGATTTTAGGTTCCCTATCTCTTTAGGAATAGTGCCAGAAAGATTATTAGTATAGAGATTGAGATGAGTAAGGTTTGTCAGATCACTTAATGATGTCGGGATTGAACCATCCAATTGATTATCACTCAAAGATAGCTGCACAAGAGATTTCATGGTCCATATCTCTTTAGGAATAGTCCCCGAAAGAGTATTCTTAAAGAGATAGAGAACGGTGAGGTCTGTCAAATCACCTAGTGATGTTGGGATTGAACCATTGAATTGATTCCCTTGCAACTTTAGCTCCGTCAGAGATTTCAGGTTCCCTATCTCTTCAGGAATAGTTCCAGAAAGATTATTGTTGCTGGCATAGAAAATCATAAGGTTTGTTAGATGACCTAGTGATGTCGGGATTGAACCATTGAGTTGATTATCGGTAATTTCTAGATCGATGAGAGAATTCAGATTTCCTATCTCTTCAGGAATGGCTCCAGAAAGATTATTATTACTTAGATAGAGAATGGTAAGGTCTAGATCACATAGGGATGTGGGGATTGAACCATTGAGTTGATTACCGCTAATCCGCAAATCAACAAGAGATTTCAAGTTTCCCATCTCTTTTGGAATATTATCAGAAATGTTATTTAAAAAGAGATGGAGAATGGTAAGATTTCTTAGGAGACTGATTTCTGGCGGGATTCTCCCAGACAACTGATTAGAAGAGAGATCAAGATAACTGAGTTTGGAGAGGAAACTGATTTGAGGTGGGATGGAACCAAACAGATTATTCATGCTGAGGTCAACATATTCAAGATTAGGGAAGGACATGAATGAGAAATCATGTAGCGTACCTTGTAAACCAGACTCGGTAAGGTTTATCTTGATGACACTTCCAGCAGCATTGCATGAAACACCAGCCCAAGTGCATGGGCTTGCTTTTGTTATAGGATTGCGGGAAGAGTTGGTGGAATTATTACTGGGAGGGTAAGCCCATGAGGACAGATATTTGTTGTGGGTTTGATTTTGAAAGGTGGCTTTCCATTTGAGAAGAGCTTTTGCCTCATCAGTAGAAGTAGCAGAAGCTAATTGAAGGAAATTTGGTGATGGAAGCAGCTGAACATACAAGAGAAGGCAATAAGCTAGAGAGCATACTTCATAACAAGTCAAAGATTTCATGGTTTTATCATAAGATATTGTTTGTGTGGGTACATAATATTATAATACTTCTGGGGTCGTTTGGTACGGCGGACTGTCATGGACTGGACTAAGTCCTGGGACTGTCTTGGATTAGCTCAGATTGGCCTAAGTTGGATTAAGTACTGACCTACGTTTGGTATTGTGTCGGACTAAGAAGCTAGATTGTAAAAATAGTGAAGACCTATGTTTGGTGTTGTGTCGGACTAAAAAATAATTATTGTAATATTTAAATTTAATTGGGGATTTTGACTTGAAAAATATTTAAATTTAATTAGGGATATTTAATCAATTGGGATCTTATTGATCCCTTTCTTCTTCTTTGCCCATTACCAGAATGATGGCCGCGCTCGGCTCCGATCAGCGGAAGCAGCTGAAAGACATCTTCTAAGGCCCACTGCTGCAGTAAAATGGATAACAAGCGTTGTTCTTGTTGGAGACTGCCTTGAGAAGAAGACCCACTGCTGCTATCGAACTACGCATCTTCTAAAGCATCTCCGTTTTCATTTTCTGAGTTAAAGACGAAAGGGAATTGGAAGAGAATGAGAGTGGAGAGCTACAGGGTTTTGCAGACAGAGTGAAGGGAGATATGTGAAGGAAGAGGTAAAAAAAACTTGCCTGAGTACAACTTCGAAGAAGAGCAGATTCGATGTTGAAGGAAACGAGAGAGAGAGAGAGAGAGGCGTTGGCTCGGACTCGCGTGTTATGTTTAGCGAGCTCACTATTTTGAGAACCAAGTTTCAGGCTCGCTAGATTGCACGAGCGAGTGAGGCGTTTTTTGTACTGTTGGGCTATTTAGTCTCATTTAAGTTAGTCCCTCCTTTCACCAAACATGGGTTTTAAGTGCTAATTAACACAGTCCAGTCCAGTGAGGCCTACCAAACATGCCCTCTGAGTCTTATTTATAGTGCCTATTTTCTTTTCCACAAAAGTCAAAGTCTTCAGAGTTCAAGACTTTGGAAAGCTCTTTCCATTTTATTTTTTTTTCATTTTCTTAATTGGAAGACAGTTTGGGAAGACATTTGGGGTTTTCACACCCTTGAGTCAAAGTCTTCGTCTCTTTGGAAAATTTTGCATTTTTGTGTTGAAACGGAATGAAATGAAATTGATAGAAGTAAGAGCTTCATTGGATGTTATTGGTGGATCATTGTATGCTTGACAGCAGGCCGAAGAGACCTGGGAGTGGCTGTCACTTCACCTGGGTCGTTGTACATATTTTAAAAAGAGAATAAGTTTTACAGAAAATGGGGTTGGATATTCAAGTGATTTTACAACTTTCTACATTCTAAAAAACTTTCAAGGAGAAACGAGTAAAGAACAGTGTGAAAGAAAACCTAGGTTTGGAGTTTTAGCCGCCACCCCCTTTGGGGGTGGGTGAGTTCCTTTTGCCCTCCCCTCCCTTCCTCCCTCCCCTGTCTCTTCCTCACCCCTCCCTTCTCCTCTCGCCCCCTTCTCCTTTCCTTCACTTGCTTTCCGTCCACTCCGTCCCCCCTCCCTGAGTTTTCTGCCCCTCTCCCTTTTCTTTGCTCTGTCTTTGGGCTTTAGGGTGGTTTCGTTGCTCCTCTGCTTGGCATCTCCGGTAGATCTTTCCTGGATCTAGCTTTTCCGGGGATTGTTTTGGTGATTCGGTGGCTTGGGTGTCTTTCCCCTGCGGCCGCCGCGCTTGCTTTGTTCTCTTGGGCAATTGGTGTCCCCATTTTGCTGGGTCCGATGCTCTCTCCTTGGATGAGAGCGGGTGACGTCTTTCAAGCATACCCTGCTTGTATCGTGGGCTTCATGCCTCCTATTGTGGGCTTCATGCCTCCTATCGTGGGCTTCATGCCTCCTATCTGCTCAGATCCCTCATATCTCCACCATTCCATCCTTCACAGAGCTGTCCTTTGGCCGTCGTCACTTCGGTTGCTGGGCTTTCCTTGGTGCTTCGGTCTTTCAAACCGACTTCATCACCCGGATTCTCTGGCTAACCCTAAACGCGAGCTCTCGCGTCTCCCTCGGAAGGTGTGTAGAGCCGCGACAACGCTCCGACTCTGGTGCCTGCACCACCTCCTTCCTGTTACTTGGTTACATTTCCTTTGCCTTTGGACTGCTCTGAGAGTTACTGGTTTTTGTGGTAGATCTGTGATGTGGGTCTGTACTTTATGTAATTTTTCTTGTTTCAACTTGTTGTTGCTACCACATGTTAGGTGTGGATTTAGTTTTACTGCTGGGCTTATGCCCGTTTAATTTTCTTCCGGCGGGTTATGATCTTCATGCTATGCCTGTGTTGGGTTTTAGTTAGATCTGGTCCTGCTTTTGTTCTGTTGCCCTTGTTCTGTTCCTTGCCCTTTGTGGGTTTTCAATGAATTGCCTTTCGACCAAAAAAAAAAAAAAAACAATGAAGAGTCTTTTAGCGAAAAAACAAAAAAACTGAACAAATTAGAATTTTGGTTCAAGAATCCAAACTCTCACAAAGCCAAAGAAAACTCCCACCGACTTACTTCCTTCACTTTGGTTAAATCATGTATTTGTTGTTTCATTTTTGGGTTATTCATTTTATTAGTCCCTAAACTTAGATCTAATTTGCATTTGAGCCCTCAATTTTCAAAATCATTTCCATAATCCTTCAACTTCAGTTTCGTTCTCGTGGTTCTATGTATAAAATATTTGAACTCTCACACGCTGAAATATAGGAAAGAAACACACAATTATCTCCATATCTTCAGTCAAAGTCTCTGTGTCTTATCTTTTTTAATGAAATGAAATTGATGGAAGCGAGAGCTTAATAGATGTTATTGGTGGATCAGCAAAGAAGGTTTGTTGTCTGCTTGACAGAAGGGGTAGAAATGTGTCCCACATTGAACTGTTGTTCAGTAATGTGAATGGATGATCAAGAAGGCCAAAGAGACCTGGCAGGGGCTGTCACTTCACTTTGGGTTTCCTTCGGGCTGGTAGGATTAATGACTCTGCGCGTCGGATTAATTGACTTTATCTTCACCTTGGGGCTCACGCACACGACTGAAAAGATCATTCAATATTCTGTGTTTTTTCTTCTTTTATTTTTGGAAATGCATTCCTATTGTTTCGTATAGGATGCGTCAGTTTGGTGGTTTGATTTGGACTGGATTGCAAGACAATTTTTATGAGTCATACTCGTCTAAATGAGATTTGTAAAACTATAAAAAATTGAAGCAAATTCATTCTTTTCTTTTCCCTTTTTTACACAAATGTGATAAACAAGTACCCCCCAAAAAAAAAAGGAGTATGACTCAGAGGATTAGATGAGTATTCCACACTAAATGGGCGTAATCATCGTCGAACTACCAAAGTACCCTACCTTCTCACCGTAATGGTCGTCGGACTACTTAAACCCTAATTCATTCTTTTTAAAAAAGGGAAATATCTCTTTTGGTCCGTGTATGGTTTGCAGGTTTTTCCACTTTAATCCATGTAGTTTTAATTTTGTCAATTTAACCCATGTAGTTTGATTCTATCGCAATTCAAGGACACATCCAAATTCCCATCCAAAATACCCCTCAGTAAGAGACACGTGTTTATTCCGTCAAGAATTTGGAAGGAAATTTGGACATGTCCTTAAATTGCAATAAAATCAAACATGAATGGTTCTTGAATTTTTCAAAAGTTCTCATTTGAGTTCTCAAATTTTCAAATCAATCAATGTGATCCTTAACACTTTGTTTGGATGAAGGAATTGAAACCCTGAAAAATAGAGTAAAAAATTACATATTTTGCTCAACAAGGCTGTGTACTCTCCTTGACGATACTTGAATATGAAATTCTAAATGGAAAGCATATGATTTTGTTGAGCAAAAATTTGAGTTTTAGGACTAAATTGAGCTTTAATTTGATGAAATATCCTTTAAAGTTGGTGAGATGATGATATGTGACCAATTTTAACCAAGTTTTGTTGGAATGCGACAATAAAGACCAAATTGATGTGTAGATCAAAATATAAAGGATCATATTTATTGATTTGAACATCTGAGGACTAAAATAAGAATTTTAAAGAGACTACCTGTAATAAAAACCCATGTTGAGAGACTTGTTTCATTGTTTGACGAGATTGTGGATTGACATTATTTATGCCAACGTATTATCGTCACAGCAAGAGAGAAGACTTCCCAAGTAGTTGAGTTCATGTTCCAGAGACTGAAACAAATGCCAAATTTCATTTTCCATGTCATTTTGATTTTGGACTATCAAGAAAAAAAGAAGAAAGAAAAAGGAATTACGTCATTCATTTTACATAATCAAGTTTAAAAGAAGTTTTTTAAAAGTATTTATAAAGAGAAGAAAAGAAACTCAAACTGATGCCACTTGAATTTTGTGTCGTGTCTCAATGTGTCCCTCCAAAGAAAATGTTGAATCATCACTTTATCTGTCCTCTAATTAATGATTTTGTTGTATTTTGAGTGTACGTTCACTATTTTTATTTTTTTATATTTTTGTTGAGGAATCACTATTCTGTACAATAAAAAAGAGCACTACGAGTGAAGTTTTAACGGAATGCTAGACAGGGTTGGGCTAATAGCACGAAAAATATTCATAATCTTTTAGGTGGCAAATTGATACATACATACATTACGAAAAATATTCTAAATACTAATAACCCAAAAGACAGAAGTGGGCATGAAATAGATTACAATAATCCAAACATCTAAGAAGAATTAGAACAAGGCAGACTCAAATGAAAAGCAGCACATGCCCTGATCAGGCAGTGAAACCATCAAGAGCAAGCAATTCACCACATGTTGTCATATGTAATGGTTTTGACAAATGCAGCCTCTGAGTTGATGACAGGAGCTGAGAAACTTTCTTCATTGTTGGACGACACTGCGAACTGGGATTCAAGGATGCAAATGCGATCTTCACCAGAGAGACCACCTCCCCTGCTTCTTGTTTTGTGGGTGGGGAGACGCGTTGGTCTAGAACTTCCGAAATTGGCATTTCAGGGGCAGGTGATGCAGATGAGGATGATGATGATGCTCCGGATGACAAAGATGAGAAAAAATCTCCTGGATGGCTCCCCATAATTATTTCCAGTGTGACAACTCCAAAGCTATAAACATCGCACTTCTCGTTCACTTCCATTGTATATGCAAGCTCTGCTCAGAAAAGCACATAGAAGAAATTGTACCATGCATCAATTGTACACACGTAAAATAAGAGACTCAGATTGAAGTGTTCAAAACATTGCTTCTCAGAAAAAAGACAGTGAGGAAGTCACAATTTCCCAATCAAATTAATAATTCATTGAAACACACAACCTACAAATTCGAGGAAATTTGGTTCTTTTTCAGAACTAAAACAGATAGCTTAATAGAAGCTGGACGGTGAAGAAGAAAAAGAATTAAAAGCTGGATGTTGAAGAAGAAAAATAATTAAATAAGAAAAGTTTCCATCATCATGCACATAAAAAATATCTAATAGTTATATATTCTAAATCACAGAAGTGAAAATGAAGCATTGGTCTAAAAGCAAAAGCTTAAAAAGTGCTAAATACAGAGAACAGGGAATCACAATATTACCTGGTGCCATGTAGCCATATGTGCCTGCAGCAGCAGTACAATTAGTTGAGTCTGGATTTAAATACTTAGCAGTGCCAAAGTCTGAAACACATGCCTCATATTCAGAATCCAACAAAATATTCTTGCTTGAGATGTCACGATGTACAATCGGTGGCAAGCAATCGTGGTGCATGTAAGACAAGGCATGAGCTAAGCCTTTAACAATATTCACCCTTTTACTCCACCCCAACTCTTTAGCTTCTTCATCTTTGCTCAACATTGCGGCCAAGCTACCTCTTTCAAGATACCCATACACCAAAAACGAGTGTCGTTTATGTGCGCAGAAACCATAGAGCTTCACAATATTCCGATGTCTTATCTCAGTGAGTGCCCTTACTTCATTCAAGAATTCCTTCTGAAATTCTGTCTCTCCATCCCATAGCGGATGTAGTTTCTTAACAGCCACTACGTCTTCAGATGACAAATTCACTCTATAGACACTTCCATGTCCTCCCTTCCCAATGCAATATGTGGAATCAAAATCTTCTGTTGCCCTTATGATTTCCTCATACATTGATTTTCCATCAAAATTTAAAACCGAAAAGGAAATTTCTCCATGCATGTGGGTTTGTTTAGTATCTTGATGCTTCTTCTTTCTTTGCACTATTACGAAGACAGTTGTAAAGAGAGCAAATACAAGGACATTGTTGTGGGAAAAATTGAGAGTCACCAAACTCTCCATATTGCTCATTACTGATGGTATACTACCTTCAAGAGAGTTATGACTTAAATCCAGTTTGTTCAATTGAATTAACTTCCCCAACTGAAGTGGAATTGCTTGAGATAACTTGTTGTTGCTCAAATTCAGATGGTATAATTTGAGCAAGTCACCTAAAATGCTGGGAATTGAGTCATTGAATTTATTTGTTGACAAGTCAAGATAATCAAGATCAGTCAATGATCCGAATTCAGAGGGTATACGACCCGACAGTTGATTTCCATTCTAGTCAATGATCCGAATTCAGAAGGTATACGACCCGAAAGTTGATTTCCATTCAACATTAACCTCTCCAAAGAAGTCAGTCTCCCGAATCCCATTGGAATCAACCCAACTAAATGATTCGAAGAGAGATCTAGCTCATGTAATAGGGTTGCATTGCCTATCTCAGGTGGGATGCTCCCAGTAAGGTTGTTTCCCGCAAGTCGTAGGGCTGTCAACTTTGGGCATTTTTGCCAATTGTGTGAGATTTCTCCATACAAGTTGTTATGGCTTACATCTATAAAATCAAGATTCGGATAAACGCCAAAGTCTTCAGATATATTGCCTGTCAATTGGTTCTGATCAAGACGGAGTCTGACTAAGCTCGTGCAGTTTTTCAAGCTTTTGGGGATTGGACCAATCAAATTGTTTTTTTCTGCTGAAAAGTATGTGAGTTTTCCACCTTGGCAAATATTTTGGGGCAGATAACCAGAAAATTGGTTTACACCCAACTGCAAACTAGTCAACTTCTTGAGATTCTCTATCTCTTGGGGGATGGGTCCGGAAAGTTGGTTATCACCTAGGAATAAGAATTCCAAGTTGCGCAAGTCACCGATTGAAACTGGAATTGAACCATTGAGTTGATTCCCGTCCAAGTCTAGATTTACAAGAGATTTCAAGTTCCCTATCTCCTTGGGAATCAAACCAGAAAGTTGATTTTCAGCTAAGTACAAAGTGTTTAGGTTTATTAAGTTACCAATATTTGGAGGGATGAGACCACTTAAATTGTTGTGGGACAACCCTAGATCTACAAGAGGATTCAAGTTCCATATCTCCTTGGGAATCAAACCAAAAAGTTGATTGTTATTCAAGTACAAAATGTTTAGGTTTATTAAGTTACCAATATTTGGAGGGATGACACCACTTAAATTGTTATTGGACAACGCTAGATTTACAAGAGATTTCAAGTTCCAAATCTCCTTGGGAATCAAACCAGAAAGTTGATTGGAACCCAAGTACAAAGTGTTTAGGTTTATTAAGTTACCAATATTTGGAGGGATGAAACCACTTAAATTGTTGTAGGACAAATCTAGAATTACAAGAGATTTCAAGTTCCATATCTCTTTGGGAATCAAACCAGAAAGTTGATTTTTACCCAAGTACAAAAATTTTAGGTTTATTAAGTTACCAATATTTGGAGGGATGATACCACTTAAATTGTTGTAGGACAACCCTAGATCTACAAGAGATTTCAAGTTCCCTATCTCCTTGGGAATCAAACCAGAAAGTTGATTGGAATGCAAGTACAAAGTGTTTAGGTTTGTTAAGTTACCAATATTTGGAGGGATGAGACCACTTAAATTGTTGCCTGAAAAATCTAGATTTACTAGAGATTTCAAGTTCCCTATGTCCTTGGGAATCAAACCAGAAAGCTTATTGTCATACAAGTACATAGTATTTAGCTTTATTAAGTTGCCAATATATGGAGGGATGAGACCGCTTAAATTGTTGTCGGACAATCCTAGATATACAAGAGATTTCAAGTTCCCTATCTCCTTGGGAATTAAACTAGAAAACTGATTTTGGGAGAGATCAAGATGGTGGAGTTTGGAGAGGTTGCTGATTTGAGGTGGGATGGCATGAAAGAGTTTGTTCAAGCTGAGGTTAAGATATTCAAGATTAGGGAAGGACAAGAATGAAAACTCATGTAGCGTACCTTGAATACCACAAGTGGAAAGGTTTATCGTGCAGACACTTCCAGCTGAGTTGCATGAAACACCAGTCCAAGTGCATGGGCTTGTTTTTGGTTTTGGATTGCTGCTGGAAGAATTGGTGGCATTAATATTATGAGAGGGAGGGTACCAGGTGAGATGATTGAGGGCTTGATTTGGAAATAAGCTGGCTTTCCATTTGAGAAGAGCCCTTGCTTCAGTATGAGAAGTAGAAGTAGCAGAAGGAAAAGCAACCCAATTTGGTGATGAAACATACAAGAAGATGACAAGGCAATAAGGCAGGAAGCATAGTTTAGCGGAAGTTAAAGATGTCATGGTTATTGTTTGTGCGGTATACATATATTGTATGGGTTGTGCCTTACTACTTATATATAGTGTGGGTTAGTCTTTGGGGTTCAGTTGAGCATTGAAAAGTCTTTGAGAGCGTGTTCCTTGTGCTCTTGATTAAGTTGTGTGAGAACCCGTGGTCTTCTTGGATCTCAAATTCACACCTAAATGTCACCATGGCATTGGACAATGAAATTATTGTTTCATTTTTTCTTTCCCTCTCACAACGAAAAAAATTTCTAAGTAACAACGGTTTGGGGTTTTCACACTGAAAGTCTTTGTCCCTTTTCTTTAAAGTTGAAAAAAACAACTTTCGCATTTTCTCAAAGCATGATTAACCTTGAAAGTGCGCTAGCCAGACAGAGGAAATGGTATAGTCCTGTCATGACTAGAATAATTCAAACAAAACATGCTTCTTGCTTTGCTTTAGTGGAAAAATTAATCCACTCCAGCTGTCCCCAACAAATCTGAAGAGTTACTCTTCAATGCAATTTCATCCACGCCATTCAATTTTCTTTTGAGTGAAGGTCTCAGTCTTTCATTCTCTAAATTTAAATGCCAATTTTGTATTTTCTGGATGAAATAATGAAATGAAATTGACGAAGGTGAGAGATAACCATATGGATGACATAGGGGTTTAGCTGTGTCCCACCCAACTGAATGCTTGAGTGAGCTTTCTGCCATTGTTAGAATTGTAATAAAGTCTTTGTCTTAGTGGTTGTTCTTATAATGGCTGG